GGGTGACGGTTATGGGGTGGTTATAGGGTGACCCCGGTTATGGGGTGACCCCGGTTATGGGGTTGATTCTGTTTATGGGGTGATCCCGGTTATGGGATGATGGGGGGGATGGTTATGGGATGGCTCTGGTTATGGGGTGCCCCTCATTATGGGGTGACCCTGGTCATGGGGTGACAGTTTTGGGGTGATGGTTACGGAGCGATCCTGGTTATGGGGCGATGCTTATGGGGTGCCCTTCATTTTGGGGTTGATCCTATTTATGGGGTGATGATGGTTATGGGGTAATAGCATGGTTATGGGGTGATGGTTGTGGGGTGATGGTTATGGGGTGATTGGGGTGATGGTTATGGGGTTGATTCTGTTTATGGAGTGATCCTGGTTATGGGGTGAGGGTTATGAGGTGGTTGGGATGGTTATGGGGTTCCCCTCATTATGGGGTGGCCGTGCTTATGGGGTGATCCTCGTTATGGGGTGATGATGGTTATGGGGTGACGGTTATGGGGTGATGGTTATGGGGTGACTCTCGTTATGGGGTTACAGTTATGGGGTGATGGTTATGGGGTGACTCTCGTTATGGGGTTACAGTTATGGGATGACAGTTACGGGGTGATGGTTATGGGGTGATGATGGTTATGGGGTGATGGTTATGGGGTTGATTCTGTTTATGGGGTGATCCCGGTTATGGGGTGATAATGGTTATGGGGTGACAGTTATGGGGTGACAGTTATGGGGTGAGGATTATGGGGTGCCCTTCATTTTGGGGTTGATCCTATTTATGGGGTGATGATGGTTTTGGGGTAATAGGATGGTTATGGGGCGATCCTGGTTATGGGGTGACGGTTATGGGGTGATTGGGGGGATGGTTATGGGGTTGATTCTGTTTATGGGGTGATCCCGGTTATGGGGTGATGATGGTTTTGGGGTAATAGGATGGTTATGGGGTGACAGTTATGGGGTGACAATTATGGGATGACAGTTATGGGGTGACGGTTATGGGGTGACAGTTATGGGGTGACGGTTATGGGGTGACGGTTATGGGGTGATGGTTATGGGGTGATGGTTATGGGGTGATGGTTATGGGGTGATTGGGGGGATGGTTATGGGGTTCCCCTCATTATGGGGTGATCCCGGTTATGGGGTGATACTTATGGGGTGATGATGGTTATGGGGCAATGGTTATGGGGTGATGGTTATGGGGTGACCCCGGTTATGGGGCGCCCCTGGTTATGGGGTGACGGTTTTGGGGCAATGGCAATGGGGCTCCCCTCGTTATGGGGTGACCGTTATGGGGTGATGGTTATGGGGTGGTTATAGGGTGCCCCTGTTTATGGGGTGACCGAGGTTATGGGACACCCCTGGTTATGGGGTGATGGTTCTGGGGTGATCCCCATTATGGGGTGACAGTTATGGGGTGGTGATGATTATGGGGTGATCACAGTTATGGGGTGACGGTTTTGGGGTGATGGTTATGGGGCAATAGCAATGGGGCGCTCCTGGTTATGGGGTCATGGTTATGGGGCGTCCCTCGTTATGGGGTGACAGTTATGGGGTGCCCTTCATTATGGGGTTGATCCCGGTATGGGGTGACGGTTATGGGGTGACGATGGTTATGGGGTGATGGTTATGGGGCGGTTATAGGGTGACCCCGGTCATGGGGTGACTCTGGTTATGGGGTTGATTCTGTTTATGGGGTGACCCCGGTTATGGGGTGGTTGGGATGGTTATGGGGTGATGGTTATGGGGTGATGATGGTTATGGGGTGATGGTTATGGGGTGATGGAGAGGGGGAAATGGTTATGGGGTAACCCCATTATGGGGTGATGGTTATAGGGTGACCCTGGTTATGGGATGCCCTTCATTATGGGGTTGATCCCAGTTATGGGGTGATGGTTATGGGGTGATGGTTATGGGGTTGTTATAGGGTGCCCCTGTTTATGGGGTGACTCTCATTATGGGGTGATGGTTATGGGGTGTCCCTCGTTATGGGGTGATGGTTATGGGGTGATGGTTATGGGGTGGTTATAGGGTGACCCCGGTTATGGGGTTGATTCTGTTTATGGGGTGATCCTGGTTATGGGGTGACAGTTATGGGGTGATGGAGAGGGGGAAATGGTTATGGGGTAACCCCGTTATGGGGTGATGGTTATGGGGTGACCCTGGTTATGGGATGCCCTTCATTATGGGGTTGATCCCAGTTATGGGGTGATGATTATGGGGTGATGGTTATGGGGCAATGGCAATGGGGTTCCCCTGTTTATGGGGTGACCGAGGTTATGGGACACCCCTGGTTATGGGGTGATGGTTATGGGATGATCCCCGTTATGGGGTGACAATGGCTATGGGGTGTCCCTCGTTATGGGGTGACAGTTATGGGGTGATGGTTATGGGGTGGTTATAGGGTGCCCCTGTTTATGGGGTGACTCTCATCATGGGGTGATGGTTCTGGGGTGATCCCCGTTATGGGATGATGGGGGGGATGGTTATGGGATGGCTCTGGTTATGGGGTGCCCCTCATTATGGGGTGACCGCGGTTATGGGGTGACAGTTTTGGGGTGACGGTTACGGAGCGATCCCGGTTATGGGACGCCCCTGGTTATGGGGCGATGATTATGGGGTGCCCTTCATTTTGGGGTTGATCCTATTTATGGGGTGATGATGGTTATGGGGCGCTCCTGTCTATGGAATGACAGTTATGGGGTGATGTTTATAGGGTGACCCCCGTTATGGGGTGATTCCCGTTATGGGGCCCCCATTCCATAGCAGTTCTGGGTTTGGGGTGACGTTTTTGGGATTTTTTTGGGGTGGAATTTTTGGGATTTTTTGGGTGGAAATTTTGGGATTTTTTGGGTGGAAATTTTGGGATTTTTTTGGGGTGGAATTTTTGGCGAGCGGCTTTTGGGACGTTGGGTTTCGGACACTCTTTTTGGGATTCTGTTTTTTTGGGATTCTGCTTTTAGGGTGCTTTTATGGGATTCTGTTTTTGGGATTCTGTTTTTTGGATTGTTTTTTGGGCTCTATTTTTTGGGATTCTGGTTTTTGAGATTCTGTTTTTGGGGTTCTGTTTTTTGGGATTCTGTTTTTTGGGAGGCAATTTTTGGGATTTTCTCTTTGGGGATCTTTTTTGGGGTTTGGTTTTTGGGGTGACGATTTTAGGATGATTTTTTTGGGTGTGATGATTTTTAGGATGTTTTTTATGGTCATGATTTTAGGATGATTTTTATGGGGTGATGATTTTGGGATGCCGTTTTCGGGACGGGCGTTTTTCGGGCGTTGTTTTTGGGATGCCGATTTTAGGGCCCTGTTTTCAGGACGCCGTTTTTGGGACATTTCAATGTGCCAATTTTGGGGTATTTTCAGGGTTTTTTGGGTCTCATTTTCGGGCATTTTCAGGCACCGTTTTTGGGGCATTTTGGGGTTTTTTTTGTGCTCTCGTTTTTGGGGGCTCTCATTTTTTTCGGGTGCTTTTTTGGGGCATTTTCAGGCTCTCGTTTTGGGGCATTTTTGGGCTTTTTCAGGCACCGTTTTTGGGGCATTTTCAGGGTTTTTGGGGCTTTTTCAGACACCGTTTTTGGGGCATTTTTGGGTTTTTTTGTGCACTGTTTTTGGGGTATTTTTGGGTTTTTCATGCTCTATTTTTAGGACTCTCCATTTTTTCGGGGCGCAGTTTTTGGGGGATTTTTGGGGCCGTTCCGGGGGCGCCCCTCCCCCCTCTCCGGGGGTGTTTTTTGGGGGTGGGGGAGGGGCGCTCCGTTCCCGCCTCCCCCGGGTTATTTTTAGCATCGTTGGTTGCTACGCAACGGGATGGGGGTGGGTGACGTCATCAGGGCAGTGACGTCATCAGGGCGGTGATGTCATCGGAGGGTCCCCAAAATCCCAAAATTGGCTCTTCCCCGGATTTTGGGGGGGATTTTGGGGGGGATTTTGGGGGGAGGGGATTCCTCAAATTCGGCCCCAAAGTGGACACGGGAGGGGACGGTGATGACGTCACTGCTGCCACTGTGATGATGTCACTGATGTCACCGTGATGATGTCACTGATGCCACTGTGATGATGTCACTGCTGTCACCGTGGTGACGTCACAGTTGTCACTTTAATGATGTCACTGCTGTCACCGTGATGATGTCACTGTTGTCACCGTGGTGATGTCACTGTTGTCACAGCGATGTCACCCTTATTGCAGTGACGATATCACAGTGATGATGTCACCAATATCCCATTAACGATGTCCCCAATGTCCCCAATGTCCCAGTGCGGATATCACCATTATTACAGTGATGATGTCATTGGTGTCACAGTGATGATGTCCCCATTGTCCCCAATGTCCCCAATGCAGGGTTCGCGTTCCCAGAGTGGGCTCAGTGATGATGTCACTGCTGTCACAGTGATGATGTCACAGTGATGATGTCCCAGTGATGACGTCATTGGTGTCACAGTGTCCCCAATGTCCCCAATTCAGGGTTCGCGTTCCCAGAGTGGGCGTACAAGGCGGAGTCACCAATGTCACAGTGACGATGTCCCCAATGTCCCCAATGTCCCCAATGTCACAGTGATGATATCACCATTATCACAGTGATGATGTCACTGATATCACTATGATGATGTCACCATTGTCCCCAATGTCCCCAATGCAGGGTTCGCGTTCCCAGAGTGGGCTCAGTGATGATGTCACTGTTATCACGGTGATGATGTCACTGGTGTCACGGTGATGATGTCATTGGTGTCACAGTGACGATGTCCCCGCTGTCCCCGCTGTCCCCGCAGGGTTCGCGTTCCCAGAGTGGGCTCAGTGATGATGTCACTGTTATCACTATGATGATGTCATTGGTGTCACCATTGTCCCCAATGATGTCCCCAATGTCACAGTGCTGATGTCACAGTGATGATGTCATTGGTGTCACAGTGTCCCCAATGTCCCCAATGCAGGGTTCGCGTTCCCAGAGTGGGCTCAGTGATGATGTCACTGTTATCACGGTGATGATGTCATTGGTGTCACAGTGACGATGTCCCCAATGTCCCCAATGCAGGGTTCGCATTCCCAGAGTGGGCTCAGTGATGATGTCACCGTTATCACGGTGATGATGTCACTGCTGTCACAGTGATGATGTCATTGGTGTCACAGTGTCCCCAATGTCCCCAATGCAGGGTTTGCGTTCCCAGAGTGGGCTCAGTGATGATGTCACTGTTATCACAGTGACGATGTCACTGCTGTCCCAATGATGATGTCATTGGTGTCACGATGTCACCCGCAGGGTTCGCGTTCCCAGAGTGGGCTCAGTGATGATGTCTCTGTGGTGATGTCACCATTGTCCCCAATGTCCCCAATGCAGGGTTCGCGTTCCCAGAGTGGGCTCAGTGATGATGTCACTGTTATCACGGTGATGATGTCATTGGTGTCACGATGTCCCCAATGCAGGGTTCGCGTTCCCATAGTGGGCTCAGTGATGATGTCACTGCTGTCACAGTGATGATGTCACCCTGGTGATGTCACCATTGTCCCCAATGTCCCCAATGCAGGGTTCGCGTTCCCAGAGTGGGCACAGTACGGTGTCACCATTATCACATTGGTGTCACAGTGATGATGTCACCCTGAGGATGTTCCCAATGTCACAGTGACGATGTCACTGATATCACTATGATGATGTCCCCAATGTCACCAATGTCACAGTGACGATGTCCCCACTGTCCCCGCTGTCCCCAATGCAGGGTTCGCGTTCCCAGAGTGGGCTCAGTGATGATGTCACTGCTGTCACAGTGATGATGTCATTGGTGTCACAGTGATGATGTCACTGTTATCACGGTGATGATGTCACTGGTGTCACAGTGATGATGTCATTGGTGTCACAGTGATGATGTCACTGCTGTCCCAGTGACGATGTCCCCGCTGTCCCCGCAGGGTTCGCGTTCCCAGAGTGGGCGTACAAGGCGGAGTCGAGCCCCGGCTCGCGGCAGATTCAGCTCTGGCACTTCATCCTGGAGCTGCTGCGGCAGGAGCAGTACCGCGAGGTCATCGCCTGGCAGGGCGACTACGGCGAGTTCGTCATCAAGGACCCCGACGAGGTGGCCCGGCTGTGGGGGGTGCGCAAGTGCAAGCCCCACATGAACTACGACAAGCTCAGCCGCGCCCTCAGGTCAGGGGGGCTCTCGAAACCCACCCTGGAGACCCCAAAATCCAACCCAGGGCCCCCAAATCCATCCCAGCATCTTCAAAATCCCATCCTGGGACACCAAAATCCACCAAATCCACTCCTGGGTCACCAAATCCACCCCAGGATTCCTAAACTCCCATCCTGGGACCCCCAAATCCATTCCAGGATCTCCAAATCCACCCCAGGATTGCCAAAATCCCATCCTGGGGCCCCCAAATCCCAGCCTGGGGCCCCGAAATCTGCCCCACATGAGCTAGGACGAGCTCAGCCGCGCCCTCAGGTCAGGGGGGCTCTCGAAACCCGGCTTAGGGACCCCCAAATCTGATCTGAGAACCAAAAATCCCATCCTGGGACACCAAAATCCACCAAATCCACTTCTGGGTCACCAAATCCACCCCGGGATTCCTAAAATCCCATCCCGGGACCCCCAAATCCCATCCTGGGACACCAAAATCCACCCCGGGATTTTCAAATCCACTCCTGGGTCACCAAATCCACCCCGGGATTGCCAAAATCCCATCCAGGGACCCCCAAATCCCAGCCTGGGGCCCCGAAATCTGCCCCACATGAACTACGACAAGCTCAGCCGCGCCCTCAGGTCAGGGGGGCTCTCGAAACCCGGCTTAGGGACCCCCAAATCTGATCTGAGACCACCAAAACCCAACCTGAGACCCCGAAATCTGATCTGGGACACCCAAAATCCCATCCTGGGACACCAAAATCCACCCCGGGATCTCCAAATCCACTCCAGGGTCACCAAATCCAATCCAGGGTCCCCAAATCCATGCCGGGATTGCCAAAAGCCCATCCTGAGACCCCCAAAATCTGCCCCACATGAGCTAGGACGAGCTCAGCCGCGCCCTCAGGTCAGGGGGGATCTAAACCCGGCTTAGGGACCCCCAAATCTGATCTGAGACCCCCAAATCTGATCTGAGACCCCCAAATCTGATCTGGGACCACCAAATCTGATCTAGGACACCCAAATCCATCCCGGGACCCCCAAATCCCAGCCTGGGACCCCAAAATCTGCTCTGAGACCCCAAAAATCCCATCCTGGGACACCAAAATCCATCCCAGGGTTCCCAAGTCCACTCCAGGGTCATCAAATCCACCCCGGGATTCCCAAAATCCCATGCTGGACCCCAAAATCCCATCCTGGGACCCCTAAATCTGCCCCACATGAGCTAGGACGAGCTCAGCCGTGCCCTCAGGTCAGGGGGGTTCTCTAAACCCAGCCTGGGACCCCCAAATCTGATCTGGGACCCCCAAAATCTGATCTGGGACCCCCAAAATGTGATCTGGGACCACCAAAATCCCATCCTGGGACACCAAAATCCACCAAATCCACTCCTGGGTCACCAAATCCACCCCGGGATTCCTAAAATCCCATGCTGGGACCCCCAAATCTGATCTGGGACCCCCAAAATCCATCCCAGGGTCCCAAAATCCCATCCTGGGACATCAAAATCCACCAAATCCACTCCAGGGTCACCAAATCCACCCCGGGATTGCCAAAATCCCATCCTGGGACACCCAAAATCTGCCCCACATGAGCTAGGATGAGCTCAGCCGCGCCCTCAGGTCAGGGGGGCTCTAAACCCGGCTTAGGGACCCCCAAATCTGATCTGAGATCCAAAAATCCCATCCTGGGGCCCCCAAATCCCAGCCTGGGGCCCCGAAATCTGCCCCGAGACCCCCAAATCTGATCTGAGACACCAAAAATCCCATCCTGGGACACCAAAATCCACCCCAGGATCTCCAAATCCACTCCAGGGTCCCCAAATCCATTCCGGGATTCCCAAAATCTGCCCCACATGAGCTAGGACGAGCTCAGCCGTGCCCTCAGGTCAGGGGGGCTCTCGAAACCCGGCTTAGGGACCCCCAAATCTGATCTGGGACACCCAAAATCAGCTCTGAGACCATCAAAATCCCATCCTGGGACACCCAAATCCACCAAATCCACTCCAGGGTCCCCAAATCCACCCCGGGATTCCCAAAATCCCATGCTGGGACCCCCAAATCTGATCTGGGACCCCAAAATCCATCCCAGGGTCCCAAAATCCCATCCTGGGACGCCAAAACCATCCCAGGACCCCCAAATCACATCCTGGGACCCCAAAATCTGCTTTGAGACCCCCAAAATCCCATCCTGGGACACCAAAATCCATTCCGGTATCTCCAAATCCACTCCTGGGTCACCAAATCCACGCCGGGATTCCCAAAATCCCATCCTGGGACCCCATAATCTGCCCTGAGACCCCCAAAATCTGCTCTGAGAGCATCAAAATCCCATCCAGGACACCAAAATCCACCCCAGGATCTCCAAATTCACGCCAGGGTCCCCAAATCCACCCCGGGATTGCCAAAATCCCATCCCGGGACCCCCAAATCCCATCCTGGGACACCAAAATCCACTCCAGGATCTCCAAATCCATTCCAGGGTCCCCAAATCCACTCCAGGATTCCAAAAATCCCATCCCGAGACCCCCAAAATCCACCCCGGGTGTTACTGAGTGGGTGGGCGTGGTCTGACCGAGGCCCCGCCCCCTCTCCATGTATTGCTGATGAATGGGCGTGGTTCTATCCAGGCCCCGCCCTTTCCCCGGTTATTTTGGGGGGTGGGCGTGGTCTGAGCAATGCCCCGCCCCCTCCTCGGGTATTTATGGTGGGTGGGCGTGGTTTCATTGAGGCCCCGCCCCCTCCCCGGTTATTTCAGGTGGGTGGGCGTGGTTTCATTGAGGCCCCGCCCCCTCCCCGGTTATTTCAGGTGGGTGGGCGTGGTTTAATCGAGGCCCCGCCCCCTCCCTGGTTATTCCGAGCGGGTGGGCGTGGTTTCATTGAGGCTCCGCCCCCTCCCCGGTTATTTCAGGTGGGTGGGCGTGGTTTAATCGAGGCCCCGCCCCCTCCCCGGTTATTCCGAGTGGGTGGGCGTGGTCTGAGCGATGCCCCGCCCCCTCCCCGGTTATTTTTGGCGGGTGGGCGTGGTTTCATTGAGGCCCCGCCCCCTCCTAGGTATTATTCATGAATGGGTGTGGTCTCATGGATGCCCCGCCCCTTCCCCGCATATTTTTGGTGGGTGGGCGTGGTCTGAGCGATGCCCCGCCCCCTCCCCGGTTATTTTTGGCGGGTGGGCGTGGTTTAATCGAGGCCCCGCCCCCTCCCCGTATATTTCGGGGGTGGTGGGCGTGGTTTAATCGAGGCCCCGCCCCCTCCCCGTGTATTTCCGATGGGTGGGCGTGGTTTCATTTAGGCCCCGCCCCCTCCCCGGTTATTTTTGGCGGATGGGCGTGGTTTCATTGAGGCCCCGCCCCCTCCCCGGTTATTCCGAGCGGGTGGGCGTGGTTTCATTGAGGCCCCGCCCCCTCCCCGGTTATTTTGGGTGGGTGGGCGTGGTCTGATCGAGGCCCCACCCCCTCCCTGGTTATTTCGGGCGGGTGGGCGTGGTTTAATCGAGGCCCCGCCCCCTCCCCAGTTATTTCAGATGGGTAGGCGTGGTCTGAGCGATGCCCCGCCCCCTCCCCGTGTATTTTGGGCGGGTGGGCGTGGTTTAATCGAGGCCCCGCCCCCTCCCCGTGTATTTCTGGCGAATGGGCGTGGTTTAATCGAGGCCCCGCCCCCTCCCCGGATATTCCGAGTGGGTGGGCGTGGTTTAATCGAGGCCCCGCCCCCTCCCCGGATATTCCGGGTGGGCGTGGTTTAATCGAGGCCCCACCCCCTCCCCGGATATTCCGAGTGGGTGGGTGTGGTCTGAGCGATGCCCCGCCCCCTCCCCGGTTATTTTTGGCGGGTGGGCGTGGATTAATCGAGGCCCCGCCCCCTCTCAGGTATTACTACAACAAGCGCATTCTCCACAAGACCAAAGGCAAACGCTTCACCTACAAATTCAACTTCAACAAACTCGTGCTGGTGAATTATCCCTTCATCGACCTGGGGCTGGCAGGTGAG